CTTATTAATTTCCCATAAACCTGAGAAAACTTTAATGCTTTTAGATTACCGTGTTCTCTCTCTGTCTAATTTGGTTGTTTCCCTAAACTCTGTAAAACGTAATGATTAATTTCAGTCATTGTCTCCTGTCTGCCAGCCCTCCAGGGTCAGAGGAACGCTAAACGTCCATTTAGAGATGCGAGCATGTCTGTACATCTCTCCAGCACTCTGTGAAAACAGGACATTTGATAATGTTTGTGCTGAAAGAGCGTGAGAGTGTTTGTTGTTTTCAAGCACTAGCCATTTGGAGACTTAAAGCTGCTTTCCAGCCTCCTGTACTGTAGGTTTTATTTGGAGCAAGTGCAACCGTTTTGTAAAGTAACACCTACTTTTTAACAACGCCCAATCAGTTCCTGATGGATAAAATGGAAACCTGAGGTCCGTTTGTCTCATTTAATGTCCTGTTTCAGATAAATGTGCAATATTTCTCGATTTTAAAAGGGTATATGTCGAACATCACCTGATTATTACATAGTAGCGATATATATGGACTTTTAAGATAATCAGTTAAACTAGCTAGCTGTTTTTATTTATTTATTTCGAAATAACATCTTTTTCTCTGCTTTGGGAAACCGGATTGTCAGCAGTCATTTCATCTGATGGCTTGTTCCTCCCAACTTTATAAGTAATTCCATTTCAGACACTTTTTTCATAACTGCTGTACTTTATCCCCATGATGCACCAAACAGGAAGCCGAAGGTTATCAGCAATGTTTCATCTTTATTTTTATTTTTTTTGTCTTTGTTGTTTTTTGGCACTCCCAACACTTGTATGAATCCATTTACCATGTGGTGGATTCTGGGAATGGTTGAACATACATGCGTGTTATTTATTTATGTATTTGTCCCTTTCTTTCTTTCTTTCTTTCTTTCTTTCTTTCTTTTTCTTATATATATGTCACCTTTATGTATGTGTGTGTGTTTACATAATTGTAGGCATTTCATTCAGTACAATGGTATATATCGAAGTGTTGCGGTATTGCAATCTGCACCATGGTACTACTACGGTACTTTTCTATAAGGGTACTCTCTTTTAATCTCTCGTTCAAAGCACAAACCACAATCGCTCCGTCGAGACCAAGCTCATAGACCAGTGGTTACAAAACCAATTACCAGCAAACACTGTTCCCATGAGCCACTACAGTAAACTCTGGAGAAGAACAGAACATAAACCAGCTGGAGAAGATGAGAGTTTTGAATCCATTCATATAAACAAGAGACATTCACACAGGAGATCAATAAATCTCCGATCAAGTGCGGAGGAAATTAATTTTGAAAGTTGCTCTGTGCTGTGATTGCTATAAGACTCACTTTATTTAATAGTAACGGCAGTGCAGCCATAAACAGAAACAGATCCTCTATATTTGATTTGCATCAACTAACCACAGCAGACATGCTGTAAACATCATCACCAAAATGCAGAACAAACCGCTGACACTGTTTTTGGTTAATATTATTCTTTATTAGATTTATGTTTGTTGAATATGATATTGTGTTGGCAGAGGGCAAGGATCTGAGGTATACAAAATGAGTATGCTTGAGGAGAGAAAGAGTGAGACAGAAAAGTGTGGGGTGAGTTCTATTCAGCAGTCACTCAGGCAGGTTTTATGGGTCTAGTACATACTATCAGTGTCTGGATGACAGTCACACCCTATCAATCTCTTCAAGACTCTCTCGCTCTTTCTCTCTGTGTGTGTGTGTGTGTGTGTGTGTGTGTGTGTGTGACGAGACCCGGTTAACAGAATACGGAAGTCTGTTGCGCATAAACCCTATTGATCTCCATTTTGATTAAATGATATTGATACTTATCGATCTATGCTGTTTTCATTTGATGCATGAAAAAAAAACTTCTAAGCATTATTTGTAGCGTGCTTCACCTCTAATAAATCACAGTAAGCTTTGTGCTTTGTTACTTTTGATATGAAACAAACTTGAAATCCTCAATTTTAAATTCTCAAATTTCTAAATTTTCTCCTCAATTTTATTATGAAATTCAAATAATACATACAGTTTTGGTGCTCTTTAATGTGGCATGACAGATAGCTATAGTCGCCTCAGTTTAAGCAGCACGTAAACTGATCATCTCTTCCTCTTTGCTACAAGTTACAACACAAAAAGAACATGAATGAACAACAGAAGGAATGTTGAAAGATACACTACCAAAATATATAATGTCTGCAATCACTCAGTGATTCAGCAGTGAAAAGAGGTCAATAAAACAGCTTGTAAACAATGCCGCGTAATATTACTTCTACCTCAGAAAAGCAGTTTAATTAATGTCATATATTAATATTATAGTAATGTACCAACTGACAGAGTTTACTGTATAGTAGAGGTGCACCTATACTGAATTTCGCTGCCAATACCGATAGCCGATTATCCAGAATATCTGCAGATACCGATGCCGTTACTGACAGTTTGATTTTCTTAAGGAAAAAAAATCTCATTTAACCAATGCTGTAAACTAAACAGGGAACCCTCTCATTTGGTACATGACTATAATATTAAAGGTTAAAATGAACAGCAGAGCTATTATATTCAACTGCTATTTGTTAACAGATATCATAATTACACACAAATAAATATTGAAATGTCTGTATACAACTCAGTTGCACATAACATGGTCTTCTTAAATACCTGTCTTCATGCCAGATTTATTCTAACATACGTATATAATTATAAGTTGTCACAATAATTTTGACAGCCCTAAATTCAATACGAGATTTTATTTTCTGCCGCTTTTTGGTTGACAGGATATAATCGGCCACTGGTCATGAAAAAAATTGCTTTTAACGGCCGATACTGATTACTGGCCGATACATCGGTGCATCTCTGGTTTACAGCATTATTTTTTTTCCTTAAAGATTTTAATTAAAGAAATTAAATCATGATGTTTGTGTCATTACTAGTAAATGTGGCATTTTGTTCCCTTAGTGAAAGAGCAGAGACCCGTGGAGAGTGGTGTGGTAGTTGTCTGGCGCAAGAAAATGTTGTTTAGAATTCATTTATTTATTTATTTATTTGATAAAATATGATAACATAAGATTTATATTAATATATATATATATATATAAATATGTATGTGGAATGGTAAATAACTGCTGTGTGTGTGTATTTATAAGGAAGGAGATTGGAGCTTCTGCTGTTCCTTAGAAAAGAAAATTAAAAATTGATCACAAAGTTCTCTCTCTCTCACCCCCACACACACACACAGTGAGGCTGGTAATCTCAGTTTTGCTACACAATGTGTGGAATGGTAAATAACTGCTTGCGTGCATGCGTGCGTGCGTGCGCGCGTTTAGGAGGTGGATCCTCTCCCAACATGGAGATACAAAAATTGCAGAAAAGCAATTTCAACTCTCTCAGCCTCTCTGCAGCTGTGTGTGTGTGAGTGCACACTGACAATAATTGCTAATGTAGAGCAAAGACAGGCAACAGAGCATGAGCGAGAGAGAAAGACTCAAAGGCTGTGGTTCAGAGCAGGGTGACACTTTGCTTGAGTTACCATTTTTAAAAGCATCAGATGGAAGTCTGGATGAAGTGTACAGACAGTCTGAGAATGCTGGAGAAGATATTATATCAATAGCCTGTGAGCATCTGTCTTGAATGTTCATATAAGGGTGTCTTATTCACAATTTTATATAGATTAAGTATATTTCTTTATATTTTAAAAGTATTGTAATTTGAGTATTTTAAAATATTTATTATATATTATTATTCATATTATGTATTATATTTTTCATTTAATTGTATAATATGTCATATTTATTTTATTTATTTCTTTTTACTTTTTTAATATTCTGATTGTTTGCAATTATTTTTTTATTTACATTTATAATGGTGAGGACTGTAATCTAAATTCATTTTGATTAATATTACCACTGTTATTCAGCTTAGTAGTCGGTCATTATAGGTTTCTAATGATGGATTTATAAAACTTTTGTTTTAAGAATCTTGATTTTAACAATCTTAATTTGTTTGTTTCCCTTGAGAGAGAGAGAGAAAGTAATAGGAAATAATTTGTCTGCTTTTGGTGTGTGTGTGTTCGTGTGCGTGTGTGTGTGTGTGTGTGTGTGTGTGATGTTTAGCAGGTGCGAATGTGTATCTGTGTGTGTAGTCGCTTGTGAGACATCCGTATGCTCACTTCAGTCTATTCACCCGTGAAAACAGGCTGTGTGTGATGTTACATCAGCTGAGTGTAGAGTTGTACCACTTTGACGAAGCAAAGGAGAACAGGAAGCAATGAGGGAGGGGGAGAGAGA